CTACAATTTTTTTTTCTTCCCACATACCAAAAATCCCTTATACTAAAGTGTATTACAATTTGTTCCTGCAATTTTAGGTAACCGATTTATTCTAAACGTACATGTGAAATCCTATTAGATAACAACAAAATAATATTATTTATTTTGAAAAAAAATATTTAATTTGCTTCAACTATAACTTAACTATCAGTGCTTTATAACACATCATATATAATGTATGATAAGTATAATCCACTTAATTTATGAAATACATGTTTCAATTGATTTATTATTTTTAATTATTAAAATACCAATATGTATGTATAATATATTAAAATACCAAAGTCAATTCTATACATAGCTTATTCAATTCTTACTTTTCATAACACTAAACTTATTCCAATTGTTATTTCATAACACAGTAGGCTAATAATAGCACTGTTATTCACACTATAAGAGCTTATTATTCTACCAACACAATACATTAAAAATCAGCACTCAATTGTAATGTAACATCAAATACTATAGTATTTTCATGGAAATAACTAATAATCGCTCCTTCATCAATTTGTATTTCATATATAATATTCGATCGCAGCAGCAACTCCATTTTTGATGAAACATTGAATAATCTTTTCCTCACGCCTCTTGATTTTCAACTGAGCATCAAATCGAGTATCTTAAAGTTGCATAACAACATTCGTTGATTTTGGAAACAAACCAAATTGTGCTCTAGCAAAGTCCAACGGAACATTCTGCATCAATTCAAACATAAATTAACATCATAACAAAAAAAAATTAATCCATAATAAATAATTGCCATGTAAACATATTTTTTAAAAACCATACAATAATTCCCTCTGAATGATATGCTTTAGAAAACACAAATTTTAAAAACATCCCTTCCCAATCAATTGTCATATCATTCAACCACACATGTATTTCAGCTACTATTTCCCGAGAACCTTGCACAAAAGGCTTTCGTCCACGCCCACCACCTCCACTAGCCATCACACATCAATAATTCACTTTTTTCATGCACACAACTGCAATTGCTTAGCCGATATTTATACATAAATGAACACCATCAACACAAAGTTCAAACTTAAGTCAAATTACAATAAAGATCATTAAAAATTGCACATTACTCACCCATAACTCCAACACTAATTAATCTTTTTCAATGCATATACAAACTCTAACATCTACAATAAATAATAATATTTCAAAGTCAACAATAACCATCCAAACTAATTCAATGCTTAGCATTCTTATCTCCAATCAACAACACATAAAATGCTTCTTTATAGACCTTAAAAGTTGAAAAACTTTTACATCAATGCTATTCTAACACATCATATATGGCATATGATGTATATAAATCACTTAGTTTATGATGTCCAACAAAAATAGAAATGTATAAAATCAAAAGTATAATATTACCTATACTTATACTAGCTTTTTTTCCTAATAATAAATACTTCCTTACATTACAATCCACAACTAAACACTTTGCATTTTATCTATAAATCATAACATACATAGATATCAGATTTATAAAACCCCCAACATTGCCTCATTTCTAAACGAGACAAACAAACACGATTTACAAACATAAAGCGCGCGTAGCGCGCTCTAGCCCCCTAGTATCTAACAAAAATCAAGAGAACAAAAGCATATAATTTTAGGTATACTAAATCTTAACAAAAAAACAAAAACTTAATTAGTACTCAAATCTTAAGTCCAGGTATACATATCCAATTATAATTAATAATCATATCTTTACTAAATCAAATTAAATCCAACAATAACCACAAATTTTATACTTAATCAAATAAATAACCATTAAAAAAATCCAATTACTAATAAATACATCTCTTTCATACATACATCCGCTTCAACCGGATCCAAGTCTAACACTTCAAATTGATGGTCGTCATCATTTCCACAAGAACCTTCACCTATTTTCATTTACAATTGTCCCTGTAAAACACCATAACAACATAACAGATTACTTAATTAACTAACCAACCCTAACTTTTCAATAATTTACATCATTGCCAAAATACAACAAGGTTCTTACTTGATTAAGGTGGATTTCCATATTAAGGTGGAAGTTATAGCCAAATTCGCCTCTTAATGTGGAAGTTCAAGCCAAATTCCCCTCTATGAACCTTGAGCTACATTGGCGCTGATTGTTTTTTTGCGGGAAGAGCAGCTAGTAAAGGGGGAAAGTAACTTTTCTCTCCTCCTTTTTTTTACCCAACGCATTTTCATTTTACCCCCCCCCCCATTTTATTTTATCTTTTTTTAATTTGCAAATATTATTTTTTTATTAAGGTATTGGACGAGGGCCTGTACCTGGTAAGGGTCTATAGTTTCTATGCTACAAATACGTTAATTTAGGGACCGCATTTGACCTTAATTAAAAAAGCCCATACAATATAAGCTTTGTATTGTGTGACGGAGTGACTAAAAAAATTAGTAAAACTAATTTTAGTTTAGAAAAAAGGCAAAAGCTAACTAGCTAGCGCTCCCGGGGCATTATATAAGAGAATTAAAAGTGGAATATTAGAATAAAACTAACATTAATTGCACCGAACGACGTGTAATTTTATCATGCATTACTAACTTGATAAAATTTCAACAAATATACTACCTCCGGTCCAATTTAGTTGCAACTTTGGGGGGGGGGGGGTTTGCGGAGGCCGAGGCAAAATTTCCTAAGCATGCTTATTGAAAGATAAGGGTATACACTTAAGTATTAATCAAGTAATAAAAATAAAAAAAATAAAAAAAAATTCAACCCAATTTTAAAAAAGAAACCCACCACCACCAATCCCAGCCACGACTAACCTAGCCACGACCATCAAACCACCGACCCAGAAACCCAACGACCACCAAATAACCTACCCACCAGCCACGACCACCAAACCACCGACCCCCAGAAACCCACCGATCCTATAAACTCACGACCCCCGAACCCACCGACTCCGAAACCACCAACCTAGCACACCAAAACAAGCAACACCGAAACCACCAACCCCAACCAACCGATTTGAAACCCACGAGGCCACCGATCTTAAACCACAGTGCCGCCTATCCCCGCCGATCTTAAGCCACTAGGAAGGAGAGGAGAGAGAAAACTCATTCTCTTCATTATTACCGACGAACCTCGTTGCTCTTAACACCACAAAGCCACCATGAAAACGGAGTTGGAGGAGGAGAGAGAAAATTAAAGGGGATGAGGGTTTAATTAATTAAGCTTGGGGTTTAATATAATGAAATCAGATTTGTAATTTAATAAGGTTGTTTAAAAAAGAGTAAAGAACGTTGGTCAATTACCACCCAAAAATTCACTAAAAAAGAAAAGAAATGGAAAAGTTGCAAGTAATGTGAACCGACCCAAAAAGGAAATAGTTGCGAGTATTTGGATCAGAGGTAGTAATATTGCTTATCTAACGCCCGACACTCGATAGCAAGATCCTTGAAAAAAAAGGGAAATTCCCATTGGTACACCCGTGGTTTTGACTTTTCCCATTGATACACTCCAAAATTTTTGTCTTCCCATCGGTACACCCATGGTTTAGTCTTTTTCCCAACCGTGACTAACACCGTTAAAAAGTATTTCATTAAGTTAAAATAATTAAGAAAAAGACTATAATACCTCTTTTAAATATCTAATGTCTCGATTTGCGTATCAAAAATTGTTCGGTTAAAGTTTTGGAAGTCATGTTAGTCCTTAAGGATCCAAACCTCGAAATTAGCAAAAAAAAAAAATAACGCAAATGTCTCATGTGCGTGTTAAAAAAGTCTCGGTTTGCGTGCTATTATTTTTTTGTGACAGTAATTGTTCGGTTAATGTTTTGGGGGTCATTTTGATCCTCTAAGGATCTAAATCAAACTCGAAATTGTCAAAAAATTAACGAAAATGTCTCGTTTTGCGTCTCATGACAAAACAAAAAAGAAATATCATGACGTGCAAAATGAGATATTTTTGTTAATTTTTTGACAATTTCGAGTTCGATTTAGATCCATAAAGGGTCAAAATGACTCCTAAAACCTTAACCGAACAATTATTATCACAAAAAAGTAATGACACGCAAATCGAGATATTTTTTGACACGCATATGAGACATTTGCGTTATTTTTTTTGCTAATTTCGAGGTTAATTTGTATCCTTAACGACTAGGACTCCCAAAACTTTAAACCGAACAATTTTCGACACGCAAATCGAGACATTAGATGTTTAAAAGGGGTATTATAATCTTTTCCTTAATTATTTTAACTTAAAGAAATACTTTTTAATGGTGTTAGTCACGGTTGGGAAAAAGACCAAACCATGGATGTACCGATGAAAAGACAAAAATTTTGGAGTGTATTAATGGGAAAAGTCAAAACCACAGGTGTACCGATGGGAATTTCCCAAAAAAAAAATAAGGCCAAATAAACAAGACTTTTCCGTACTAATATGAGCAATTACTCAGGAGCTTTGCCTGGTTAATATGTGATATTGACATTGAATGTTAATATAGTGGCAAAATCGCAAATATAAGAGCTTTGCTGTATTATTTTAATATTTTCTCTCATTGGTGGTGTGTTGGCACTTAACTCTGACGTTAGTCAATGGTTAACCTTATTTTTGGATCCCGTTTTGACTTTCATTTTGCCATCCTCATCATTTGCCAAAAACCGTTATTTTTGTCTTGAGCTCTAGTTCTTCAATCTCCAGCAAATGTGAGGGAGTGGGTGTCGGTGAGACAAAATTCAAGGTTGGAGCCTTATTCCATATTGTTGGGGTAATTAATTTGGTGTTTATGACTCAAAATAAGAGGATTTTGATTTGTAGTTCATAATAATGATGGTGGTATATTCCCAGTAAATCCTAAATTAAAACTCTTTTGAATTGAATGTGTAAATCTTAAATCAGCTACCAACTACAATTGACCATCGCTGTCGAAATTAGAATTGTAAAAATATTTATGACACTTCTAAGCTCATAGTTTGATGGTTCTAACCTCATACTAAAGATCAGACCACATACCAGTAGTGCAGTTAGCTGAACTTCCCGACTTCAACAGTTCAACCCGTAACCTTCAATTGAACCAATCTTAACCCCGTGAAAGAACTTCAATTCACCACCGCAGTCGAACCGCACATGAATTCGACATGACAGTGCTAGTTGATTTCGAATTCAACTCCAGAAGGAACCAATTTGGGATTTTGGGTGGACTACTGGTTCTCGTCACCAACTCCGCCTCAAAGTCCCAGTACTATCAGCAACTAATAGAACGGGGATTTTGCAAAACGGGAATTTCTTTTCACGGACACGTCATTAGTGAAGAGAAGACGGACTATACCCTTACTGAAATGACCTTGATAACCCCATCTTAAAACTGCTCGTTAATATCGCATATTAACGAGTATTTTCTCATTATTCAGCTTTCAAACACACAATTTCTGCTTCTGAAAAAAAAAATAAAAAATAAAAAAACACAGTTTCTGGTCACTGGTTTTTCTTAGTAGGTAACCCGAAGTGAGCTTTTATACTTGAGTTGAAAATTTTGTCATAATTCATCGCAAATTAATCCAGAAGTTTCGATTCAAAAGTTGGTTTTCTGCAATGGACAGCAGTGACGAAGATGAAGATTTTTCATACCATGAAGGCATAATCCCACAATCGAAGATCAACTCTCTCTTTCAATCTAACACTGAAAAGGTATTCTCTCTTTCTTTTCTTACATTTTAGGGTTTTGCTTTTTAATCATCTTCTTGGGTTTTTTTTTTTATTTTTTTTATTTTTTTATTTAGTGGCATTATTATACACCCGAGTGTACCGTGTATTTAGTGAGCCACGAGGGTAAATGATGTTCGAGATTTGATCCGGGTTTTGGATTTTTCTTATTTTGCTGTTTTATTTGATATATTTTCGATTAAGCGTGTATAATTTTACTTGGTATTCTCTAGTTGTTGATTTAGCTATGAATGAGTAGAAAAGGAAAAATGAGTCTCATGTTTAGGCTCAAGGTTCGGTTTTGTTCAACTTATTATGTTTTATATATTTTAGAGAATTAGTTCAAATGAAATATGTTATTTTAAGACAATTTCACACAAAAATAAGATAATTTAGTATAGAACATTTTGTTTAAACAAAATAAGTTCAAATATGGTAAGTTAAATCAAACTTGCCTTAAAAAATGAAATTAAAATTGAATAGAAAAGAGTTTAATTATATATTATATTAGTTAAAAAAGTGACATTGTGTTTGTTTGGAACTCCTTTGATGTAAGTTGCCCAAAATTTTCTATGTATAGGCTAAAAATGGCTCGTCCATGGCCGGGTGGTGAGACTGTTTGGGCATGATTGCATGAATTTACCTTTGGTTATCGACTTATCATAGCTATGTTTAAAGTTGTGGAGCTGAATTCAGCAGGATTGATAAGATGACTGTTATGTTCCTGTGCATTACAGACCTGAAAAGACCGAGCATTAGCAACATGATTATACTTGGGAGTTGGGACTGTTTTTAGATGACCCCCCCCCCCTCAAATAAATAAAAAAAATTCCATATGGAGGATAAGAAAACAGAGAACCAAAGTTTGTGTATGAGCTCAATTGAAAGATGATTGTTGTTCAGTGAAGGAAATTTCAAGTTCCTCTAAAGCTCTGCAGTGTTGATATTAACCTATCTTAGAAAATGATGCTAAGGAATAATTTAAGTCTCATATTCGTCATTATATTATATGCATTGTTTTCTTTTTAGAGCTACGGGTATCTGGTTTATCCATTTTTCGCTAATTGTTATTATCTGTCACTGAGCTTTTGTGGTTTTATTATGTTCCTCTCGGCCTTTTATGTATCTTGCTGCTTTCTTACTCTCACACGTGTTGCACATGAATTACTTAAGGGAATCAGAAGATTGTGCTGTGAGCTGTTGGATCTGAAGGATTCAGTGGAGAATTTATGTGGAAATACAAGGGCAAAGTACTTGGCTTTCCTGAGGTATCATAGAACCACCTTTTGATTTTTCTTTATTGTAGCCAGTATTCACTTGTTGATTCAAAGTTCTCTTTAAATATAGAATTTCATATTTGACAGCACAGACCTTCATGCATTTTTTTATCGGTTGGTGGTTAGAATACATGTTGAGGGCTTGGGCAGCTGAATTGTTTTAGGTTCTAACACTTGTCCCATACAAAATTGTAAGAAATCTCTGTTTCTGTAAATGATAGGCTAGATATTCAAAAATAGAACTGTGTTGAAAAGAAATTGCCTACATATTTAGTTGTATTTTTCAGCAAGTTTAATGACCTCCCTTTCTCTCAAAACATGTTCCCATGTTACTTGCATTAAATTGTCTCTCATGTATAGCGATTCTAGGTTGAAGCTAATATAACTGTAAAAGTTGTGCTAACAATATGGTAGGTTTAGTGATGCCAATGTGATTGATTAAACAATTTTTAATCTTGGATTAAATGTCTTTGCATGGAGGCAACTTACTTTTGGCATGTTAAGTGAGTAAGGTCTAACTAAATTGTTAATTAGCTCCTGATCAGGTTTAGTGTATGACATACAATGCTCTGAAGGAGACATAAAGTGTGTTGTGGCAAAACTGGCAATAAGGTCTCATAATTTGCACTGGATGCATCATGCAAGAGATGAAGGCACATGCCTTGGAAGTGAGACACTACTTTCCATTAGTAACTCAAATGCAATCTTAGGCTACTAGTCTTGTGATCAAGGTCTTAGATACGATACGGACTGCTTTTTTCTATTATGAATCTCCGTTTATGTATGTTATTTAGTGGGAAAACTGTAACTCCTGAAACCTAGTTCAGGTCTGGAGAAAGAAAGTTCATCTTTTGAAAATCCCATCCTAACTTCAGAAGAAAAATGTTTGTGGACCAAAGCTGGCTCATCAACATTGAAAATGTGTTAGTGAGTAATTTGAATTTGTTTTACAAGCCTTTGAAGTGAAAAGCTTTGGGTGAATTAAAATATATAAAGATAATGAGACTGCTATCAAAGTTGAAATCGAGGAAGTTAAATTTGCCTTCAAGCTCATAATTTATTGGATTTCATATTTTTCTTAGAGATGTCATTCGATGGCGCGTTGTACACTTGTACCATTAATATTGGATGCCTAAAGATCATGCTTTAATATGTTAATCTATCATGTCACAGATTATCGGAAGAAGTTGTTGAAATGGAACATGAATTGACTGATCTGAGAAAGCACATTTCTGCCCAAGGAATTTTGGTACAGGATCTGGAGAGTGGCGTATTTCGTGAATTAGATGAGTGCATCAAAGCTGGTGAGCAAGAAAACGTACCTGAATTGCAGAATTGTGAGCAAGATGATGTGTTGTGTAAAGACACCTATGATGCAAAAAGAATATTTTTGGAAAAGATTGATTTCCTCTTAGCTGAGCACAAACTGCAGGATGCCTTGGAAGTTTTAGAAATGGAGGAAAAAAGCTCACCAGACCTGAGAAGTGCTGGAGATATTTCATCAAACGTATCCTTTTATAAATCTGCTTTCTTGAAAAGAAAGGCTACTCTTGAGGATCAGTTTGTAGGAATCAGCAGTCAGCCTTCACTTGGTGACGTTGAGCTGAAGCAGGCTTTATGTGGTTTGCTAAAACTTGGAAAAGGACCCCTAGCACATCAGATACTGCTCAAAAGATACGCTTCTCGCCTCAGAAACAGAGTTGAAGCTTCTGTTCCATCATGTTCCCTTTATCCAGAAACATACCCAGCTACATTGTCAAAAATTATATTTTCTTTTATCTCATTAGCTGCGAAGGAATCACATTCTACATTTGGCGATGATCCTATATACACAAATAGAGTAGTTCAATGGGCAGAGGAGGAAATTGAATTTTTTGTGCGGTTTGTTAAGGAGCATGGGCCTTCATCTGAGACAATTACTGCACTGCGTGCAGCTAGTGTTTGTGTGCAGGCTAGTCTCAGCAATTGTATAATCCTGGAATTACAGGGAATCAAGCTCTCTAAGTTACTTATGGTACTAATGCGGCCTTATATGGAAGAAGTTTTGGAGATGAACTTTAGAAGAGCAAGACGAGTATTTCTAGACATTTCAGATAATGATGACAGTCCTTTGTTGTCTCCTCGGTTTTTATCTCCTTTGTCAGTTTTTGCACCTTCACCAGATAATGCTCTTATAAGTAATGGAGTGAAGTTTATCTCTATTATCAAAGTGAGTTTGTTTTCTGAAATTTTGCTGAAGAAAATATCTAATATTGATGCATTCCGTGAACCATGCTGTTTAAAGTTAACATATTAGGTAAAATAGCCGTTAAGAAAATTGGGAAATTTAAGAATATGAAGAGACTTGCAAACAGGCTACATCTAAGAGGTTGTTTTGCGTGAAAACAACCAAGTTTGATTGTACATTTCCTAAGTAGAATTTTCTTGTTTGATGAAAATTTAAAGTTTACTTTAAAAATCCCCTAATTTTTAATTGGATGCTCTTTCTGATTATCACTTTGAACACCTTTTTTTCAGAAAATTTCAACTGATTATCTTGTTATGTCCCTTTTTCTGTATCGTATGGTTCCTTATGACGATTCATGTTTGCCAACCCCAGATCATTTTGGGACTAAGGCTTTGTTGTTGTTGATAATGATATGAAAATTTTAAGGTACAGGCGACTGTACCATGCTTGGCACAGACAAAAAACGCGGAATGAACATGTATATGTATATGTTTTATAAATAACATACAACTGTTTTATAAAGAACATATAGTTGTTTTGTAAAGAACATCCAGCTTTATGTTTTTTTTTTTTTATAATCTAAAGAACATATGTAATATTAATAAAGAACATGATAATATTATGTAATGAACATTATTTATATATACCCACTATAATTTGGAGACAAAATTCAAAGAACATTTAACAATAAGCAATGAGCATTATGTCACAAATAAAAGCACATTATACAGATAATCAAAGAACATGAACATATGTTATTTTCACTTTTTTTGGTGTAAATATGTTTTTTTCACTGAAGGGTATATGTTCATTACATTTTAATAGTATGTTCTTTTCATTATAGTTATATGTTCTTCACTTTTCTATATTATGTTCTTTCATGCAAAACGACTGTACAATACAGCATACCGGCGCCTGCAGGAACCACTGATTGATAATGATATGATGAAAATTTAAAGTCTCCTCTCTCTCTCTCTTTTCTGGAGGGAGAAATTTTTTTCTAGAGGGAGAAATTTCTTACTGTCCCAAGCTACAAGATTTTTCTCTTGTGTTTCTAGAAGTGAAGAAATGTTGAATGACCATGCATTTCAATCAGTAATGTTGCAATTACATGTAATTTCTGACATTCTTTTGTCATGCTGAGTAAAAACTGGATAAATTGAGGGTATTTTATTGTTGTGGCCTTTGTATAATTGTGTTTAATTATAATACTGTTTAGATGTCGCATATCATGTTTAATTTTGTATTACAAGGTAAAATGCAAATAATAATGATGATAGGAGTACTGTAATTTTGGATGTTAATATGTTATGTAATGATTCTGCTAAGCCTTTCACAGTAGCGTCTCAAATTCATGAGGCTGTTATGAGGATATAAAACTAGTCTATATAGGAAAATAAATGGAATAAGCAATATCAAGACTTTCTAATGCTATGATAATTTGACGGGAGACTTATATTCTGATACTCTGATTAGGATTAAGTGAGAAAGGAAGATTGGAACCGGCAATATGAAAAATTTCTGAAGTGATGTTAATTAGACTGGAGAATAAAACTCTGAAGTCTGATTTGAAATAGGTGTTAAGATTGATATGTATATTGTACATAGTTTAGATTCCATTTTTTCTTGTTGGAAATCTAGAGTGCTCCTGCATTCCTAAAATGCTGCAAAATACTTTCTTTGTTCTTGTTGTTGAAATGGTTGTCACATTCGTTATTGGGAAGATGTTTGGAGAGGAGATTGTTTTTTTCCCTCCTATCTAGAATCCACAATGTTTGGTTTATAGTGTGATAATGCTTGCTGTTTAATTTTTTGGAGGAGATTGAGAGCTTTCTTCTTTAGTTCAGATTCTTGATCTTCAAGTAGCTGCAGTGAACAATGCTAGGGTGTTGACTGAGGATTCATTGTAACTTTTTTGTCAATCTTTTCTTAGTGTCTTGGATTGACCCCCTCAGTATTCAGACTTTATTTTAAAGGCAAGGGTTTTTGTGTGGAGATTGGCTTTTGGTGGAAAAAGTATTAATCACATGCTCCAAAAGTTTAGGCTGGAATACTTTATTTCACCTGATATCTGTGTGAGCATAGTGAGTCTTGTTCACATATATTTCTACAGTGTGAAGTGGCAACTGGCAAGTAACCTTAGAAGGAGCTGTTTGCATTGCATGAGGAATCTTGTCCTTCAGAGGTTTTGGATTAGATGCAGGTTAGTTTCAGGGGGTTTGGTAGGGTAAGGAGAAGAAGCTGTTGTGGGTACTTGTGGCGCAATGCTTTAATAGAAAATATTTTTGATACTTGTGGCGCAATGCTTTAGTAGAATTTTTTTTGGTTTGAGCAAAATCACTTATTCAATGCCGTTATGGGCTAGGGCAGCTGGGGCTTTCAAAAGTTGCTCAACTGGGACATATCTTAGAAAATGAGTTACTCTGTACTCTTCTGTTTTTTCTGTTTTTTTTTTTTGGGGAGGGAAGGTTAGCATTTATTTTCTTTGAGGATAAAAAAAAAATAAAACATCAATGTTTTTTTTTTTTTTTTTTTTTTTTTTTTTTTTTTTTTTTTGACACAACATCTATGTTGATTAATCTGGAGAACTTGATTCATTTACACCTTTTCCTTTTCATTCCACCATATGGTAAAGCACCAGCCTTTTTAAGATGAGATGATCTAATATAAGTTGCTCAAATATCTTCTGCCTACTGGGTTCTTAATGTCTTTTTTATGGAACTGCAGGATATTGTTGACCAGCTGACACCCTTGGCCATTCTACAGTTTGGGGGAAATCTTTTAAGTAGAATTGTGCAACTATTTGATAATTATGTGGACCTTCTAACTAAAGCTTTACCTAGTCCTTCAGAGGATGATGGCATTACAGAGCTGAAGGAGACTCTTCCCTTCAAAGCTGAGACAGATTCACAACAGCTTGCGCTTTTGGGGGTTGCTAACAGTGTTGCAGATGAGCTACTACCAATGGCAGTTTCAAGAATTTGGAATATTAATATGGAGACTCATGATCCAAGCATTGGATCCCATGAGAGCATCTCGTCTATAGGAGGTAATGCTGTTGAGTTCAAGGATTGGAGACGTCAACTTCAGCATTCTCTAGACAAGCTCAGGGATCATTTTTGCCGGCAATATGTTTTGAACTTCATATATTCTAGAGAGGGTAATTCACGACTTGATGCCAGAATATATGTTGATGAAGAAGGGGAGAACTTACAATGGGAATCAGTTCCGCTTCCTTCACTTCCATTCCAGGTAATTCTCTTCTAGGTGCTCTAGCTTTATGTTAAACAGTTAGCTACTTTGTCTTTCTAATTTCTACGTCGTTCTGGTTACTTATTTTAAACTTTATGTTTAATGATGCTATTCACTCTGTTTGTGTGCTAGTAGTCACGTCTCATTTTGGACCTTGATGAGATTTCTGTTCAGTATACTTGAGAATAGTATTACATTAAGGGCCCATCCACATTTACTTAATTTCAGTTCAGTTCAGCTCCAATCAGTTCAGTTCAGCTCTTAATTTCCCTCTCTCATAAAATATTCATTTCAGCTCAGTTCAGTTCAGCTCCAATCAAGTTCAGTTCAGTTCTAATTAGTTCAGTTCAGCTCCAATCAGTTCAGTTCAGGTCAGCTCTTAATTTCCCTCTCTCATAAAATATTCATTTCAGCTCAGCTCAATTCAGTTCAGCTCCAATCAAGTTCAGTTCAGTTCAGCTCTAATCAGTTCAGTTCAGCTCAGTTCAGTAAATGTGAACAGGCCCTAACAGCAAAAAGAGATATTTTTAGTTAAAATTTCACTAAGTTTGACGTAAAGTATAATCAGGAATCAAGATCCCAGAGATGACAATAAGTAGGGCAGCAAGCGAGATGGCCTAAGCCTACCCCTTCTTGACTAACAAATGCTGTTCTAATTTTTTCCATATCCACTGCCAGCTTTATCGGGTTTTATCCACAAGGCCTTGTATTGGACTGTTGGTAGTCGGGTCATGATACCAACTAACAAATCCGACCACAATTTTTTTCCAGAATTGTACTTTTGAGGAGAGAGACTTGTCCATAGATGAGATTATTTTAGGTGTTAGGATTCCTGCCTACCTTTTTTGGCCAATCTATGCTAGATTAGATCTTGGCCAACCTTTTTTTTTTTCCACTGTTCAATTTTATTGTTGTGTGTCTGGTGAGTTAGAAATCACTACTTACGGGTAAAAAAGTGGTTCTATTTCTGACCTACTGTGTTGATGGTATTAATGTCAGATACTCAGATGACTCAATTTCAGATAGGATATCCAAGTGGAATCCTGGAGGGGGGGATTCAAGAGTAATTGATATGGGGTGATCCAGTTTAGGAGGAATGAAGGTAGAGAATGAACAAGGAAGACCTAATGCCTATGGCTCACAGAATAAAACAACAGAGTTCTCCTCTCCTTTTATTGAGCTTCACAACCAAACGTCCCATAAATATCTTAGACTTAGAGAAAGGCAAGTCACAGTCCTGCTGAGAAAGATCCTATAAAACCCAAAGCAAGCATCATGTAAAATGAAAAAGGACAGATAATAATAGTTTCATAAGCCTTTCTGAGGCTAGTTTTTATAATAAGCCTTCAGTTAATGCTCTACTGTAGCCAAATATTTTGTAAGAGATAATTAGCAGCGCTAGGCTTGTTAATAGACAGCCAATCTTATGCCGCTCTGTGGTCAAGCATGATGCTAGAAAAAGATGAGTATGCTTTTAAGAGCTCAGGACTATGTACTACGTATTTGGCCTTTCTTGGAAAATAGTGCCATTGATTCGGTTTTCTGAATGAGACAATAGTGACGAAGTCATCTTTTAGTGATTATAGATCCAAATCACTGAGGATTATTAAACTAGAGCAATTTAACATGCTTATGTCAATATTGTGCTTTAGTTGGCATTCAAAACTATTTTTTTTCTAGAACTTTTAAACCTTTGAAAATATATTAGAGATTTAATACATTATAGGGATCCCGTGATTATTTTTGAAACACGGAAACTCCAACTGCTAGCTGTTTCCTTGCAGTATCGGTGTACCGTGGCATTCACAGATAAGCAGTGGCCTGACTAAATTGTATTACTCAAGATCTCATTTGTAAAAGAAGCTGACCTGAAATTTTTACAGGCTTTATTTGCAAGGCTACAACAATTAGCTACTGTTGCTGGGGATGTATTGCTTGGAAAAGAGAAACTTCAGAAAGTTCTACTGGCAAGGCTGACAGAAACAATAGTCATGTGGTTGTCTGATGAACAGGAATTTTGGGGTGTATTTGAGGATGAATCAGTTCCATTAAAGCCATTTGGCTTGCAGCAGGTAATTAATTATGTATGGTTTTTTGTATTTCTGTATTCAAGGAAAAAGGCGTCAATTTTTTGGTTAAAATCAACCATCTTGTAATAACTCATTGTGATACCAAGTAACACTGTTTAATAAACTCTAGGAGTGACTTGTTATTATTCAAGTAACATGTTAATCTCACTATAAGTTAGTGTGTGAGTTGCCTAAGATTTGCTGTCCATTATTAACTTACCATATTGTAAACCTACCTCATTTGAAGACTGATCCCAGACATATTAACAAAGAGTGTTTTGGAAGATTAGTGCATGCCTTTTCTTCTCATCTGATTCTGCTTGGTGTGCAAAATCAAAATTGAGGTGGTGTATGACTTGAGTGAATGTTATTCTTTCCTCCCTTTGACAATTGTCTCTAACAAATGAACAATGTTTCTTGATCGTTCATCATGGCAGTTGACTCTTGATATGCATTTCACTGTTGAAATTGCACGCTTTGCTGGCTATTCATCAAGACATGTGCTACAGCTAGCATCTGGAATCATTGCTCGTGCAGTCAAAACCTTTTCTGCAAGAGGCATTGATCCGCAGAGGTATCCCATTTACTTCTGATGGGTTTTAAATTAATATATATGGCTGTTTTCTTATGATTCGTTTTTTATTTTCAGCACACTTCCAGAGGATGAGTGGTTCTCTGAGGCTGCCAAGGCTGCCATTAATAAACTTTTGCTTGGAGCCTCTGGGTCAGAAGCATCAGAACCAGACGAAGAACAAGAACATGACTTTCTACATCAACAACATATCGTGTCAGATTCTGAGGACTCTATTTCCTGTACTTCAACTGTAGATTCCTTCCATTCTTTTGCCTCTGCAGAAACGGGAGATTTGGATAGCCCCTCACATATTATTGATCACGAGGCCTGAAACCAGCTGGAAATTGTACTTATACTTGGTAGAGAATGAAGGTGGTTTTGGTAGCTTTTGAAAGCCTGATTTAGGTCTAGAGGAAGAAGCCGAGGTCATATAAGGCCCAGATAGGGTAATGCCTTTTGGGTTTTTCAGTAGGTTAGAACATGTTGTCAATATTAGTCGGTAATCTTCTCAGAGAGTACTAAGTTATTTAAAATCAGGTATATTTGGCAAGTGTACTTATGTTCTGCGAGTAAAGAGGAATGGTTTCAACCAGGGGAAACAGGTTTATTCTTGGAGGAATGCTTATTCATTGCACCTACAACCACTGTCAAATGGAACCGAAAATCAGAGGTTTGATCTTTACACCTGACACAACTGAACAATTTTACATTACCAACAAGCGCGTTATCATAAATAATCTTCAATGCAGATTTGTTTTACACCTTAGCTTGTAATTTTTCCAGATCAGAGACTTGGAACCAGGTTACTTGTCTGTTTTCATGGCCTGATAGCCTGCCCTGTTGCTTAAATCGCAACCCCAAAACTAAGGCTTTGGGGTAGATTAGGACAAGCATTGCTGGACCCAAACTCGAAATCACCCTGTTTGAATTTGACACGAACCCAATCCAACCTGTTTGATAGGTCTACTCAAAATACCTTTCTCGATAATGACTTTGGTTTTGCTTGAGACACTCAGACAAAAATGATAATGCCAATAATGACAGATGATAGGGATAATACATGATGATGTTAATGAGTAAAGGTTGTGATTATGATAGTGATAATAGCATTGTTCCTGCACATTATTGTTGCTGTAAATGTTACAATGAGTAAAACCGACCTAAAGGTGTCAAAATCTAACTCGACCCGATAAAACCAACTCAAACAAGAAGTAACAAGGTTCAAATCTTGACTTGTATGGACACAATGGTTTAATATGACTTAAACTAGAAATAGACCCAATTCAACTAAACCCAATTAAATCCAACCTAATTACCTGAATGGACACCTCTAAACCGACCCTTGCACTAGGTAATTATAAAAGTAGAAATGTAGGGATCTAATTATGTAAACCATAATAATAAACATTGAAATAAATTGTATTTACATAACAAAGAAAATTCTATTGATAATATGAATGATTAGAATTGTAAGATTCAATTTTAGTCGGTTTTCCAAGCTTGTAATAACAGGCAAAAATCAACTATTTTGGTTTGAGCACTTTGTGTTGAGTAAAACATACTACCACAACTATTGTCACTAGCTCCACTTCTATTGCTTCCCTCCTTATCTGTGTCCATTTCGGATACTCCCGGTTTGAATATGAACAATCCATACCCTGTTCCTGGATTACAAAATAGCCATGCGTGAACGTCCCACAACACCTGAATCGGCGTCTTGTTAACCACCACTGTTTCGTTCCCTCGGAACTTCCATTGCAAGTTCTTGATATGAATGAGAACGATTCCATCGATACTAATCCACATCTCCGGGTCTTTAGTTCCCGTTGTTGAACTCTCTACCACTATGTCGTGCTCCCATTTGCTTTCAGTGAAACGTGCCCTTGTCGCGAAACTCTTCTTAGCATACACTGTCTCCTTCTTTAAGGATTGGATTGCGTCTACTAGGGCTGGCCTTTTCTTTGTGCGCTTATAAGCCTTCTTCTTGAAATCCCCTAGTAATAGCACAACCTCTTCATCGGATACAAGTGCTACGTAGTAGTCTGAGCATGGCTCGGGGCTGCTACCGGCAAACTTGGCAGATCGTAGATCCCAATACAAGTCGAGTTGGTGGCTGGATTCCTCCGGTACCTTATTGTGATCCATCTCAAAAGATTTGTACCCTTTCTTGCTCCAAAAATGCCAAGGTTTTAACTCTACCTTGCATGTTGTTTGCCTTTCCATTTCACCTTCACATCCATCTATAATGATGCTAAAAGAAATGTTCATTAGGTTTTTACACCACAATACACTAACATTTCTCCAATATCCCGCAATATTTGTTAGAAAAACACTTGTTACCGTGCATAGGGAACTCTTAAGGGTTATAGGCTCCTCCGTTACTCTCTCTGGTGGTCCCTTCATTGATCGAGATCTTATATTTGTAGTCATTACGTTCTAGGAAAATGTAACATGGATATTACACCTAACTCTATGTGTACCCGACTGAGGGATTAAATGAAAATATACGTAGCTATCAACTATGTGATCGAACAACAATATAATGGTAATCTCTGCCAAGAATTTCATGCAATAAATCATATATGGTTAGATGACTTTACTTGAGAAGGTGAAGTTGTTGCACCAACAAAATTCTTTTCATGCCCAAATGTTCTAAGGAATTTCTTATCCAACGCACGTACATGCATATATGTAATTTTCACTCAATCTCAAAATTTGAGAAGGAAAACAAAGAATATAGGAATGTTTATACAGAAAGATGAATTTGATCTTTGAATAATCAATCAATGTATTAATCAATGTACGCTATCTTTTGATGATGGAAATTGGGAGCAACCTAAGTAAGGTGGAGATAATGGTTAAAAATATCGACTGAAAAGTTGATTTTGCCTAAAAAAATATTAGAAAGAAAAGAGAATGATTAAATATGAGAATGAATGAAATTTTGGATTGTGGTGTCAAATGAATTTAATTGCAGCCATTAGAGAGACGGAAAGGATAAATTAAGATAACAGAAAAAATATATTGTAGGCTCAAATTTTTTTTACTATAAATTACATTTTTGTGTAGGCTTGCAGTACCATAATCACTATTTTTAGATATGTACATTTGTATGCCTAAAAAAATTGGGGGCTAAGAATCTTCTTGATTATTTTTTTTTCTTAGGGAACAAACTTTTTTTTTTACAAAGATCACTAACAAATCAAAAGCAAACCTAACTAATAACCATAAGAGAAAGCAATGATCACGAGCTTGAACGGCTAACCAATGTGCCGGAGTCACCCACTGACGAGGCACTTTACGAATTCTACAAATAGTGAAACGAGGGAGAATCTCCTTAATCTCTTGAATCAACCAAAGGCAAGAAATATCCGAAGAACAACGATGCTGAACAAGGAGACAATTTGAGCGCAATCCGTATAAATGAGAAGGTGAAGAAAACCCCGACGGACAGCCATCCGAAAAGGCCCACAAACAGGCTTGCAATTCTGCCTGAAGAGCAGAGACTGCTCTCCTAGCCGGAGCACCTCTAGCTAGAACAACATCCGAATCAACCTGTCGAAAAATCCAGCCAGAGCCTGCATGATTATCCTGACAAAGCCATGCTCCGTCACAACATAGACAATGGTCAACCGGATCCGAAGCTTGTCCTTGCAAACACAGCATTAGGGAACAAACTTAATTTGTTTGAAGTGTCTTTATTGATTGGAAAACTATGTAAACAGAAAGAAAGAAAATATTCACCATATTACTCCCTCCACTTCTTTCTAATCTACATTTCTTTTCAAGCCTTAAAAAAACAAAAATCCCTACTCCATAAGTTGTGTTAATGGATATATATAGGGTTACAAGTTTGAGTCATAATCATGTTTATTAGAAAATCTCAAAATTTAAATATTCAATATTCACAAAATATATCTTAATACTTACAACGCGAATAACATTTACATATATTCTCTATCACACCCTTGCAGTTAGTGGGAGAAGGTCGAACATTGAGAGTGTATCTAAGTTCAAGAATAGTTGATGAGGTAGGCATTTTGTGAAAATACATGGAATGCTATCTAGTAGGATTGTGCATGTAATAATCATACATTTCCCAATGCCACCTTTTCTCAAACAAAATGGATTTCCATTTCAATGTGCATTGTGCGCTGGTGTTGAACGGGATTATGTGATAGATATATTGCACTATATTATATTATTATCTATCTCTCGCATAATCCTGTGCAGCATCAACGCACACATTCCCTTTTTTTTCTCCAATCTTACATCATTATGTGTTTCTTCAACGCACATATCGGTTTCTTTTTACTACTCCCTCCATTTCATATTAAATGCAACACTTTTTATATTTGGCCGTTTCATTATAATTGCAATACTATAACTTTTGGGAAGGTCCGATCATTATTTTATAAATTTTTTTCTCCCACTAACCACACTTTACAAATATTTTATTATTTCTCTCTTTTACCAACAACACTTTATACGAGTATTATAAATATAATAAAAAAATCCTTTATTGGGCCCCAGTCTATAAATTTTCTTTAACTTTATGAACACTAATGTTACAATTACTCCCTCCGTGTTTTTTTAAGTGTTACAGTTTGACCGACACATAGATTTAGGCAATATAATTGACTTAAATAAAATAAGAGGTAAGTGGGGTAGTTGGAGTATTAAAAAATTGTAAAAGAAAGATATTGGGGTTAATAGTTTATTGAAAAGTAATGAATTTGTGAGAGGAAATATATAATAAAAAAGTAGTAAAGAGTTTGGGTGGAGACTATGAGAGGGGAGAGATATAATATTTTAATATAGCTTTTTGCCAAAAAAAAGGAAGTGTAACACTTAAAAAAACACGGCCGGAAATAGGAAGTGTAACACTTAAAAAAAACACGGAGGGACTAATATGAAACACTGGGAATATCTCTTGTACATTAATGTTAGTTATGTATTAATCTTTTTACTACCTCTGTTATCTCATTACATTAAATTCAACTCAACCTCTTATAATTCTATGACTCTCAACTTATAACAATTAAACAAAAATGGATGGACAATTACAATTATACAGAAATCAAAAGATTAGCCAATATATACATATTAATTAAACTAGCTTTAATATACTTTTTCTTTATGTCATTATATGAAAGATTCTTTCGGTTTAAAAGTAAGCCAAAAAGTCTAAATATTATGCAAATTGAGATTTTGTGAAAGATACTTCTCAACGACAATACGAAATGGTCAACTATTTGGAGGCATACCTTTAAACTTTCTTACCAAATACGTGACATATCCTTTATTTTTAGTCTCTAAAATTAGCTTCAAATTATTGGTTCTTTAACTACTTTTGTTCTTTGCAACAAAGATTCTACAAATTTTGGTGACCTTTTCCCCTGAATTTTATTCTTTAATAACAGTAATTTAGTTATTTTTTTGTACTTTTTTAAAGGCCGGCAAAAAAAAAGTCTACTTCTGTTACATATACAAGTAGTTAAGTCCTTGACTGCTGCTTTTTTTTTTATCAAGTTGAGCATGGAAAACTCTGTTTCTTCCTCCCATTACAAAGTCATTACAACGCCGGAACCAATCCTCGAAGACGATAGTGTACCGGAGGAGAGCGGGTGGACGCAGTATATCGAAGATTTCGAGGCCTACGATAAGGAAGGATGTGTTCATGAAAACAGCAGTAGTAGTTCTAGTTATATGAGCTATTCTATGGTGTCTGATGCCGGTTCCGGACCCGAATGGAAACACAAATTCAGTATCAATCCTGCAGGAGGTTGTAATTCATTTGGTGTTTTACAAAAAATACCTAAGAAATTAAATTTCAAGAAGAAAATTCCTTTTGATGATTCCTTAGAAGATACTGCTTCTTCCCCTGTTAATAGTCCCAAGGTTAGTTTTTGTTTATAATTTTGTCAATATTCACATGTTTAAACCAACTTCTTTTATCAAAAAATTTATTTTGTTGATTTTATAACGTAATTCTACTCTTCTTATGTCCTTTTGTTATATGGGATCATGCACCTTTTTTGTTTTTTCTATTTTTTATCCATATTGTGATTTATATGTATGACAAAATATAATTATCTTACAATTTATTAAACTTGTCTCAATATATTTTTGAAAATACAAATTTTATAATTTTAATACAAGATTAGTTCATATGTTGATTGTATATGTTTAGCATCATCAAACGTAAAACTCTAAATGATACAATAAAAAACGAACAAGGGAAGTATGAAATTCATATTAGGATATAAAAAGTCGAATATTTGAATGATTATTATTCCTTGATTTATACATATGTACTAGTCACGGGTGTAACTATTAAGTTTTTAGACGTCTCATGTGACACGTATCTACTTATAAAACAAATATTTATCAATAATATGAATTTTGCCTTAGGTTCATATCAAGTCTCAAAAGATGCATTTAATTTGTTTTCTGTTTCTTTAGTACTTAGTTGCTTTTTCTTTGAACATATTACTTCTTTTTTCAAGAGGATGGATATTAATTCCAGAAAAATGGACAACGACAATGGAAGTCCCATGGTAAAACTACGTATCACTCTTCCCCTATATAATACTTATTTGAATCATTATTCTTCTTACAGAATATAATGGTATGATTTAAATTTAATGTTACACTCAACCTATATATTCATATCATGATATCCATCAAGTTTTTCATCATACATCACATGAAAGTGACTCGTGTATAAAATTGATTTATATGAATAGGTGTCATTAAACATGTTATATACAATGATTTTATATGATTATATTCTACTCATACCCATCAAGTTTGGTCACTATATATTGCATGAAAATCACTCATATATGAAATATTTAATTATTATGAATTGAAATTATTAAGCATGCTGTATACAATAATTTTACTAGATAGTATACACATCTGTTGAGTTTGGTTGCCAAATATCACATGAAAGTCACTCATGTATGAAATTGTTTAACATGATTTGGAGTCGTTTAGGATGTTACGTACAATAATTTCATTAGAAGCATAAGGTACGGAACATGCACTAGTAGGGGGAAAAAATTCCTTTCTGTTTTTGAAAGCGTAAAAATATTAAACATGCTTAGTATATATTGGCATGATCAATAGACATACTCTTAAATATGTCACTCGTTCACCCCAAAACTTCTCCTCGCACTCACTAGACACTAGCGTCTAAATTATGTTGTTAAATATTCATAGTCATCCTCTCTTATTGAAATTGACTGTCAACTAACTTAGTTGGTTAAAGTTTTAGAAGTGATACCTAAAATTTTAAATTGACTCTCATTTACATCATTGTCTTTTCATCTTTCTCTACGTCCAAACCAAAAATCTTGTAATAACGTCTTTAGTTCAAGATCTATCCTTTAGGAACTAAATTAAGTATAGGCTAGAAATTAGCATCTTCCAAAGATTCTATGTCTTAAATCTCCTTTAAATTATTCATATGTTCTTCAATTAACTGAAAGGTCAACATATACCTAACACATTTGACTTTAATGATAATTTTATAATCATAATGCAGGGCAATGAAATCTCAATTGATGAGCATATGGAATACAATAATATAAATAGAGAGCATGATTTCAAGGATGTAGATTGCATTGATTTGAAGCAAAAAGGATTATGTGTAGTTCCGGTATCTATGGTTGTCAACTATCTTGGTTGATATGTTCTGTTTAATTTATCACTTTTCTCTGTCCTCCCTTAAATGCAAATATAACCAAGAATTTCTTATAGTTCTATAGATTGTATTTGCGAAATGCATATTATGTAATTACTATAGGCCTATAGCATTGTTATTATACAATAATTTAGTGTAACAGAATGCCTCACTCTTTGTTTAAAAATCATCTACCGTTGTATGTGGTGGTGGACTATTGGTATTGTTGTTGTGACAATCAATAGTCGGTTAATTTGTAAATAATTTGCATTCATGTATAGCTAATATATGAGGGTTTTTTGGATTATTGTTTCTTGTTATTTAATTTATTAAAGGGGAAATTGTAATTTAATTATTGTTCGTATAATACTCCGTATGTAAGATTATTTTTAATAGTGAGACTCAACTCTAAGTATTAAAATAGAAAATGAGTAGATTTTCACACCCAATAGTACGTAATACTCAACTCACTTCTCAATTTAACAACTCAGGATATACTCTCTCTGTTTTTTTTTATTTGTATCAGTTTGACCGGCACATTTGCAAAGGCGCAACTTTGACCATTATTATCTTTAATTATAATTAGTAAAAATTATAACAAAATTATATTATGAAACTGTACATTATGACAAATCTAAAGATTATATAATAACAATTATTTATTTTATAGAGGTGAAAAAATCAAGTCAACCATGATATGTGAATAGTGCAAAAATTAAAGTGATGTATTTAAAAAAAAAAATAAAGGAGCTCAACGGTAAAACTCTCTTATGTATACGAGCGATTTCCGTAAATAATGCTAAAATAAAAAATAATTCCGTATATATGTCAGTTTTAAAACTATTTCCCTTGATGCCGTACACGTAGGGTTGTAAAATCCGAGGCTATAAACCGCTAATAACAATAGCGGATTTTAAAAAAGAATCGTTAATGTCATTAGCGGTTCATTTATTAAAGCCGCTAATGTCATTAGCGGTTTATACTTAAAATACTCAGTAATTTATTAGGCTTAATGTTTAGATTCTTCAAATAGAACCGCTAATGGTATTAGAGGTTCTTCAAATATAACCGCTAATGGTATTAGAGGTTCTTCAAATAGAACCGCTAATACCATTAGAGGTTCTATTTAAAGATCCTCTAACCATTACAAGTTCTTCAAATAGAACCGCTAATGGTATTAGAGGTTCTTCAAATAGAACCGCTAATACCATTAGAGGTTCTATTTAAAGAGCCTCTAACCATTTCAGATTATTCAAATAGAACCGCTAATGGTATTAGAGGTTCTATTTGAAGAACCTCTAATACCATTAGCGGTTCTAATTTGTGTAGAACCGTAATCTTTATTAGCGGTTTATTAATAGCCAAAAAAAACCAACAATCCGAGCCTACATGGACGGTACAGTATGGTGGGAAATATTTTTTAAAGCAATGTATACACGGAATTATTTTTTATTTTAGCATTATTTACGGAAATCGCTAAAGAACAATTTCCATAAAAATTGTTGAATTATAAATTAATTCCCTATTTGCGTCGGTTATTCCCATAATATTGTCCACGTAGGATTGGAAAAAGGTTTGGTGTTTTTTTTTTTTTTTACAAAGAACCGCTAACGGTGATAGCGGTTCTATACTTGTTATAAAACCGCTAACGTCGTTAGCGGTTCCTATATTAAGTTTTAAATTGTGAAGTTTTCTTATACAAGAACCTAATACAAGAACCGCTAACGACATTAGCTGTTTTATAAGTATAGGACCTCTATCACCGTTAGCGGTTTTGCAAAATAAAAAAAGAAAAAAAAATCTACCAAACCTACGTGGACAATATTGTGGGAATAAGTTTTTAAACCAACGCAAATAGGGAATTAATTTACAATTCAACAATTTTTAGGGAAATATTCCTTTAAAAAATACTCTTTCCTAAAAAAAAATCCAATTTTCACCATTGGAGATGGCCTAATATACCACCCCCGGTTCTTAATACTCGCAACAAAGGGGTATTAATTGTGAGATGTAAAATATTCCTTTGTTGCGAGTAATAAAAAACGAAGGTAGTAGCATATAATAGTATCTTTATGGCTTATGATCTCTTATAGGTTCCACCCACATTTACAACTGTAAATTCATGCTGCCTCACGGTGCAGTTTCCATTACAACTCCGATTGTTGCCACTGCTTGGTCTTCCTTATTTTGACCATCTCATCCCCACAACCAAGTACGTGTACTGCTTTTGTCCAACTAAGATTGATCTATCTAATTCAAAACACTGCATTAATAAGATATCAAACGGAGCAGTGTTATGGCCTTATGGGATGGAAGAAGTAATGAAGTATTATGCATCTTGTTCGACACATTCTATAGCACGGTCATGCCACTATTTTGATGTAAGGACGATATACCCAACCCCAACCTTGCCCACTTCACCACTTGGTCCTTATCAGTCTTGCACACTCTTAGACCATTTCCACATGGCCTTTGTTGCTCTATATCCTCCATGTCCTCTAGCCCTAAACATGAGCTATGATTTAAAGATTCATAGTGCAGACTGACTGCATGCCTTGCTTGCCTCAGTCTCTTTCCTTAATTCTCATTCAATTGACATAAGTTTACATTATTTAAGTCTTTTTGGTTCACCACAAATAAGTGATCCTCAAAAAGTTTCACTTCATGCAGAAATCTAATTCATGTGAGCCAAATGACTAGTTGCTTTACATCCTGTGAGCATACTAGCCATTACATCAGTCCTTCACATCAAAAGATGTGATTCCAACACTTACAGAACCAGGTCGGAAAAACAATGTGTTATACTAATAAGCAATAAAACAGAATTAACTTATCTCTTGATGCGTGAACCAAACTGACAATAGCCGCGTCGTGGAGAACCACTGACCTAAAAGACGATTCCGCGCTACCTCCCGGTGCAGTAGACAGTTGCGGTCGCCCTCTGGGATAAGCACGGCGCCGGAGTTTATGTGCACTCACAAACCCGACTGGAACTCAGAATACTTGCCCAGAAAACAGAACGAGGAAAACATGTGTTTAGATAATTATAGAGAAGAGAGAAGACTGATTGTGTTGTGTGTTTAGACTGAGAAAACCACAGAGTATTTATAGGCTGAAGAGGAAAAACGGGAAGCATAAAAGGTGGGAAGAATCTGGCCAAGAAAATGACCAGATTAATTTAGTCAGTCAACAACCGAGGCAAGAAACAAGGAATTAATCAGTCAGCTACAATCAAGGAATTAATGATTGAATTAATTCCGTAATCCCAACAGTCATAAAAGAATAATCCCAACAGACAAAAAGGAATATTCTGTTTAGCAAAGAAAGGGAAATAAAATTTCTCCAAAAAGATAACAAGGACCCACGCCCGCGCATCGCATTCCCCAAGTCCCGAGGCCCGAGCCCGACCCGGCTCGGCGCGCGCGTGTGTGTGGAGTAACACACACCTCCAACTCACTCAACTAAGTAGTGATAAAGCACTACAATATAAAAACAAGGAAACACCTCACTCCCCAATCGATGTGGGACTTTGTTTTTCCCCAACACTCTTGTTTTTTATATCAAGAACTTCCAACAATCCCCCACAGGTTCGAAGATATGAAAAAGGAGAGAAAGGAAAAATAAATTCTGGGCAAAACAAAACAATTGCATAAGTGTCAATGTCTCGCGACTTGAATTAACACATAGTGGACATCAAGCTATGATCCCTCACCTACCAAGTGACCTTCGTCTTGAACTCAATAGGGAGTTATGGACCCGTCACTTTGAGCCACACAATTGAACATGTATAATATTCTGAAATTCCGCGAATAAAGGTGACGCATTATACTGGCCATACGTCCAGCCTGGATGCTCATAGGTGCTCTAGAGTATAAGCCCACGAAATACTCATAGGAAGCGGCCACACTTCCACACTTAAGTAGGTGAACTCCATCAAGTGTGAGCTACAACACACCTCCAAAAATATGGATATGGGTTCATAAAGAGCCGTATGCTCAACCTCCTTCTCATATGTAGCTAAGCACAAAACAAACATCTAGAGATGGACAAATAAAATAAAATTGTGCTTCCGAATTATTACATAATGTTCCCCTTTGAACTCATAGTGAGTAGGAGTTCATTATTTCACAATTCATACAACGGCCTTTAGCCCCATCTCTTCCGATGTTTCCAAAACTAGTTTTTTACATAGGCCTTTAGCTAACGGACCCGCAATGTTCTTTTCGGACTTAACATAGTCCAGTGATATCACCCCTTCAGACAACAAATTTCTGACGGCTTTATGCCTCAGACGGATGTGTCTCTTCTTCCCATTATAGGCATGGTTGTGTGCAACAGCAATAGCAGCTTGCGAATCACAATGAAGTGCAACTGAAGGAGCTGGCTTCCCCCACAGTGGAATATCTGCAAGCATGTTCCTCAACCATTCTGCCTCATGACCTGCCAATTCAAGAGCAATAAACTCATATTCCATAGTAGACATAGCAGTACAAGATTGCTTACAAGATTTACAGGATACGGCTCCACCCCCAAGGGTGAAGACATAGCCACTAGTGGAGTTAACTTCATCATTATCGGATACCCAATTGTCATCACAAAAACCCTCCAAAACTCCAGGAAATTTGGAGTAGTGCAAACCCCAATCCATAGTACCCTTAAGGTACCTAAGCAACCTCCTTAGAGCAATCCAATGATCACTGCTTGGATTATGAGTGTACCTGCTCATCGTACTAACTGAAATAAGAAATGTCAGGTCTAGTGTAGTTCATAAGAAACATAACACTACCAATAATTCTAGCATATTCAGACTGATTAACTGGATTACCATTATTTTTCTTTAGGTGGAAACTTGGGTCATAGGGAGTCTTAACTGGATCGACATTAAATGAGTCAAACTTTTTAAGAAGTTTTTCAACATAGTGTGACTGATTAAGACATATGCCATTTGGAGTCCTTTTGATTTTAACTCCCAAAATCACATCTGCCTCACCCATGTTTTTCATTTCAAAATTCGAACTCAAAAACTGTTTTGTCTCATTTACACGATCCAAGTTAGTCCCAAAAATCAACATATCATTCACATAAAGACAAATAATTACACAACCATGACTATCATGCTTAAAGTAAACACAAGAGTCACCTTCATTAACATGAAAACCATTACCAGTCATAGTCTTATCGAATTTGTCATGCCATTGCTTTGGAGCTTGTTTAAGCCCATACAATGACTTGACTAATTTACAAACCTTTTCCTCTTGTCCTGGAACAGCGAACCCTTCAGGTTGGACCATGTAAATCTCCTCATCCAAGTCACCATTCAAAAATGCATTTTTGACATCCATTTGATGAACAACAAGATCAAAAATGCAAGCAAGAGCAATTAAAGTCCTAATGGTTGCAATTTTAGTAACAGGGGAGTAAGTATCAAAATAATCAATGCCAAACTTTAGAGTAAAACCCCTTACCACTATCCTTGCCTTATACTTGTCTATGGATCCATCGGCCTTTAACTTTTTCCGAAAGATCCATTTACAAGTAATGGGCTTACAACCTCTAGGAAGTTCAACCAATTCCCAAGTGTTATTATTGAGAATTGATTGTAACTCACTATCAATTGCTTCTTTCCAAAAAACAGCATCAACTGACCTCATTGCCTCATCATAGGTTCTTGGATCATCTTCCAAAACAAAAATATGCACAAAATCATCATCAATTAAGGAAGATTCAGATAAACAGGAAGTAATAAAATCAGGACCAAAACTGTTTTCCTTTCTTGCCCTTTTGCTTCTCCTTGGCTCCAAAACAAAATCATCGTTAGTAATAGGAGCATTAGCAATAGGCAAACTAACAGAACTACTAGCATGCAATTCACTATCATTAGAAGGAGACATTTTCAAAGGAAAAATGTTCTCAAAGAACTCAGCATCTCTTGCTTCAATGATATGACCACCTGCATAAGAGTTGTTAGCACCTTTAACAAAGAAACGATAAGCTGCACTTTGATAAGCATAGCCAATAAAAATAGCATCAACAGTTTTGGGACCAATTTTATCCCTCTTGAAACTAGGTATGCCTACTTTTGCTAGGCACCCCCACACTTTCAAGTATTTCAGGTTTGGCACTCGACCCTTCCATATTTCGTATGGAGTCTTGTCAAGCTTCTTGTGAGGAACCCTGTTCAAAACATGACAAGCAGAAAGAATAGCCTCCCCCCACATGTTGTTAGGAAGCCCAGAACTAATAAGCATAGAATTCATCATATTCTTTAAAGTTCTATTTTTCCTTTCAGCTATACCGTTTTGTTCGGGTGAATAGGGAGTCGTTGTCTCATGAACAATGCCAAGTTGCTCACAAAATGCCTTAAGAGTGTCAGGGCTGTACTCACCACCCCTGTCACTCCTAACCCTCTTGATCTTTTTGTCCAACTGGTTTTCTACCTCAGCTTTATATTTGAGGAACATTTCCTCAGCTTCGTCCTTAGACCTGAGAAGATAAACCATGCAAAAACGTGAACAATCATCAACAAAAGTAATATAATACTTTTTACCCCCTCTACTTTCGTGATTATTAAAATCACCTAAGTCACTACGAACAAGTTCTAGTACTTCAGCCTGTCTATCTACTGATTTAAATGGCTTCTTAGTAAATTTCGCTTCAACACAAACTTGACATTTCGAAAAATCAGTGTTAGAAAAACTTGGAATCAAATTTAAGTGTTTAAGCCTTTTAACAGAATCAATATTAACGTGACCTAATCTAGCATGCCATAAATCAATAGACTCAGCAATATAAGCAGAAGAAGTACTAGCATTCTTATTCATAGTGTCAACTTTAACATCAAGAGTAAAAAGCCCCCCATTACAAAAGCCCTTCCTCACAAATTTCCCATTGCGAGTAAGAACTAATCTATCAGAATCAAAGGAGAGATTCGATCCAGCTTTCATGAGCAAACTGCCAGAAATTAAATTCCTGCGCATTTCTGGAACATGCAAAACATTAGTGAGAGTAAGCAATTTTCCAGAAGTGAGAGTGAGAGCGATCTTCCCTTTGCCTTGGATAGAAGCAGAAGCTGAGTTGCCCATGAAGACATTTTCACCTTCAACCTTGTCATAGGTAGTGAACATGTCCTTGTTGGCGCAGATGTGCCTGGTAGCTCCAGTGTCAACAATTCACTCAGCAGCATTACCTGTAAAGTTAGCTTCTAAAACAACAGCAACAATAACATCAGAATCCTCAATAAGATTTGCTTGACTTTGCCCATTCTTCTTCTTGACCCTGCAATCTTTAGCCCTTACTGTTTTTGGCTTTGGACTGGTTGTTTGATTTGGGTTCAACAAGGTTGGCTTTGGCAGAAGAAGAGGAAGGAAAAACAGAAGGGGTTTTGTCTTTGATACGGTTTTCCTCCTCGATTTTGAGGTGGGCAGCAAGTTCCTCTAAGGTTAGGTCTTTCTTTTTGTGCATGAGTTGGTTACGAAAATCCTTCCAAGAGGGAGGGAGTTTCTCAATCAGAACAATAGCAAGGGTAGTATCACAAATAGACAGACCTTCAGCAGCCATATTAATACAAACACTCTCATAAGCATGAATCTGATCAATAATAGGCTTATCATCAACAACTTGAAAACTTAACCACTTACTAACACAATAACGTTTAGTACCAGCATCATCAGTTCCATATTTTTTCTCTAAAGCATCTCAAATATCCTTAGCATGAAAAAAACCCATATAAATATCCAACAGACTATTCGACATATAATGCAACAACATGCCCTTACAGGTTTTATCATCCTTAGCAAACTTAACATCACTTTCAGACAAATTATCCTTATCATCAGGTTCAACAATATCATCAAGAACATATGCAACATCAATTTGCTCCAAATAAAAACGCATCCTAACAGCCCCACGTTTATAATTCTTTCCATCAAGAGGTTCTAACTTAGACATATCAGGAATCAGAAACTTGGAAGCCATATTCGTCTTTTAGATTGTTATACTAATAAGCAATAAAACAGAATTAACTTATCTCTTGATGCGTGAACCAAACTGACAATAGCCGCGTCGTGGAGAACCACTGACCTAAAAGACGATTCCGCGCTACCTCCCGGTGCAGTAGACAGTTGCGGTCGCCCTCTGGGATAAGCACGGCGCCGGAGTTTATGTGCACTCACAAACCCGACTGGAACTCAGAATACTTGCCCAGAAAACAGAACGAGGAAAACATGTGTTTAGATAATTATAGAGAAGAGAGAAGACTGATTGTGTTGTGTGTTTAGACTGAGAAAACCACAGAGTATTTATAGGCTGAAGAGGAAAAACGGGAAGCATAAAAGGTGGGAAGAATCTGGCCAAGAAAATGACCAGATTAATTTAGTCAGTCAACAACCGAGGCAAGAAACAAGGAATTAATCAGTCAGCTACAATCAAGGAATTAATGATTGAATTAATTCCGTAATCCCAACAGTCATAAAAGAATAATCCCAACAGACAAAAAGGAATATTCTGTTTAGCAAAGAAAGGGAAATAAAATTTCTCCAAAAAGATAACAAGGACCCACGCCCGCGCATCGCATTCCCCAAGTCCCGAGGCCCGAGCCCGACCCGGCTCGGCGCGCGCGTGTGTGTGGAGTAACACACACCTCCAACTCACTCAACTAAGTAGTGATAAAGCACTACAATATAAAAACAAGGAAACACCTCACTCCCCAATCGATGTGGGACTTTGTTTTTCCCCAACACTCTTGTTTTTTATATCAAAAACTTCCAACACAATGATGTAACTAGACCTTATCCTGTACCTATATACTAAACCGGCATCATGAAGTTCAAAAAGATATTCAAAACTCTAGAATATGGAAGAAGAGAAGAGAAAGTGATAAACAGTCAAATCTGTAGAACAATGGCCATCAAAATAATTGTAATAATACAAAATTCTGATCATTAAATTGTGATCAAGGCTCAAAATGGAGCTTTTCTAATTGTAGCACAGGAACAAGAATGGAAGGAATATCATCCAAATATCCAATGGACCTCAGAAAGGCAAAATTGTAGTTGCAATGCTAGTAACTTCAAGCCCTCTTCTTCCTACCTGCTACAGTATTTTTGCCGACAGCTGCAGGCTTGCATGATGATGGAAGTAAACCACGTAGGATCGCCAACACAGCGAAGCCCATGAATGGGAAGTACACCATTTTCAACTTATCTGATGCTTTGCCTGAGCTCAAGAGTTCAGAAAGTATTGCAGCCTGAATTGTACAATTTATGATCAAAATTCAGAAATTGTCATTGACAGTCAATTATAAACAGAATAACAATGATATTGTATATTGCCATGTCCAATAGCCAAATGATAATTATCTGGCTACTCAATTACGACTACAATGACATTTACTTTACCCGGACGCCACGTTAGCCCAGTTATTTTTATGCCTTCCCCCACCCTTCCCGCTTTTACACAATTCTGGTTGGCAATCCAGATAATACTAGTTATACCTTCTAAACTTGAAAACCTTAAGAATTATTTCAATACAATTCAAATTTAGAGGCCCTACCAAGATCAAAGAGACAGACAAAAATAAGAACAAAACTAGAAGAAAAAAAAGGGGTTCATTTTTTAAGACTCAAGTTTAGGTCACCTCAAATTCAGAATAAAATTTGTACAAAGGTGAAAAAGAAAGAAAAACAGATTATAAATATTTTATATCAAAAGACCTGATAGTTTAAACAACTAAAAAGTAAGAAAAATTCATTAAACATAAATGAGACTTTTAAATGAGTACATGAATAATAAGAATTTTCACAATATTAAATGGCTACTCTAATAGGGGGCTCTTTGACATTTTAAGGGATGAAAAAAAAAAGTGAAATTACCTAAAATTAAATTACAAATCTCACACCAATTGCCTTGTAAAATAATGTTTGCAATCAACAGCCGTATACGACACAACCTAAAGCTAAAAAATTACCTAATTTGATCTTTCATATATCACCATTTTGGCAATCAACAACATCAAGGTACATATGTACTACCATTTGTGTGAATCAAGAGTTATTGTGGTGGGTGATCAACAAAAAAGTCAAATTTGACCATCTCTTAACCAACTTGTAATGTTACTTTTTCAAATGTCTTAAAAGAAACTCAAAGGTGTAGATACTTGTTTAGGTAGAACAAATCCTGCTTAGTTAGCTGGTATATTTCCCCTAAGCAATGGAAATACGTTACATGTTTGGTTTTATTATAATCTACCAAAATATATGGGTTAAATAATATAGATAAAAGTAAGTACATGCAGCAAGCAGAAAACAGTGTAACCAAGACGGGCCTTAAAAGTGTAGCAACAGAAATACATTACTTAAAGTCAAGAGAATTAACAATGAAACAGGACAACTACTTGGTAATGCAATCCTGTCCACTCAAAAGCCGCCTTATCACCCACCAGAACAAGTGTAACTTGATACCAACACGTGAAAAACTAATCAAAATCAAATGCCTCAGGTCTAAAAGATGTTGATCTAGCAATCTATCCAATAACAATCATGACAGCTGCAGGTGAAGGTACACACTCTACACAACACTTGAGGTTTTATGTTGCAGTAAATGGCTATGTACCCATCAAATAAGTAGTACTTTATGTTAACTTAAAAGTGATTTTATAACATACAAAGAAATTTTCCCATGTAGATAGATATATTAGGAAATGCAAAATGTTTGGTTGAGCATTGAAAGTTCTACCTATCTAAAGAGACCTAGGTAAGCAACTTCCTCCATTTTGTAGGTAATGTATTTTCCTAGGAAGCGTGTTATTTCCAACTAAACAATTCCATCATCTTCCACGTCCCATTAGATCCTACATCCAATGAGTTTTTATGTCACCATATAAGCACTTAATGCTTGTTTGTTGGATATCAATTTACATGGGGAGTGAAAGTTCTTGGAATGTGGAAGGTAGAAGTTTTTTATTTGCAAAATAAGTGGAAAGTTATCCATCCTACAAAATGGATGAAGTTACTTACTTAGAACCCCTATTTCAATGGAATTTCTCATGGCCTCATGACTCATGAGAAATAAACTTCTCATGCTTAACCAAATAACATTTTGTACCTCCTAGGAAATGAAACTACATAGGAGAAGCAACTTTCTAGGAAATATTACTTTCTATGTTCTTCCCTTGTGTAAAACTCTATTTGCCAAGTAAACTACTACAAAATTATCCAATTTCTAGACAATTCTATTTCCCTTTTTTTTTCTTTTTTTTTTTTTGTGTGTCAACCATCCCAGCATATACAGATGGAACTTCATATTGCTAGTTTGGTGACATCAAAAATCATGGGAAGTAGAACTTCCTAGAAAGTGGAAGAGTGAAATTTTTGGTTGGCAAAATACATAAATAGTTGTACTTCCTATGAGGTTTTAGTTCATATAAAATGGTGGAACTTCCTGATGGAGTTAGTAGGGGAGGGAAGAAGATTCATTTAGGTTGATCATAAGGTACCAACGGTTTAAAATTCCTAGGTAAAAACCTACATAAAAAAAAACGTGTTTTTATTAATTATTACTTCAATTCGACCAAATGGGCACTTAGAATTTCAATCAAAAAAGAGTATATCCCAAACTCAATATTAGGTGTGTATTACCCTTGTTTAGATTGAGTGGGAAATCTTGTTGATCGTTCAATTGAGTGGCCTAAGGCAGTCACCTAAATAACTTCTATAGTTCTTCGTTAAGTTTAGTTATATTTCTTTGTTAAGTTTAGTATATGATACCATATAAAGTCAAGATTATACTTGAATAGTTCTAATGCACTACACATCACCCTTCAAGCCATCCTTTTCTTTAATTTATCTGACCAAACAATCACCTTGATTGAAAATTTTATCAATCCAGTGGCATTTTAGTAATTAACAAATTAAAAAATGTACAAATTACGTCATTGATTGTTGATTATACATCTAATAGAGAATATTAATTTTAATATTAACCTCATAAATTTAGGATATATCATTACATAAATATATATCCTAAACCTATGAGGAGAATATTCAAATAAAATTCTCTATTACAATTTACTCTATTTTTTCCCGAAAAAGTAGATTATATATTACTTTAATTATAAAAATGATACTTGATTGACAACATTCACCAATCAAGGAATTGCCCGCAACCCCCCTTTTTTTAACCCTCCAAAAATAAGTAAAGAACCTCTCATTTTTCTATAATCCCTTCTTAAAATAAAACTACAGCTTAAATTTCTTTATTTTCCTTCTTTTTGTCTTTTGTAATACATCAGTATAATTCCATGACACTACTTACCATCCTGCGGTAGTGTGGTAAGAAAGCTAAAAAATACACCATTACACTATCCTTTCAACGATCAAGCTCCAATTTTCGCTTTCCCTTTATTGTTTTACCTTCCTTGGGTTTTAGCATTTTTTGTCAATAGTTCAACCCAGCACACACCAGTCCACCACCACCCAAAGACACAGGTCCTAAACCTCTACACGTCTATGGATAAAACTCTAAAAGTGTAAAAAGAAAGAACACATTTCTCTTTCATTTCTACCCATTTTGAGAACTTAATCTAAATTTGACATAGGTTCAATGTAGGACACTCAATTCAAACACCCAAATCCACAAGCATACCACAGAAAATACCTCCAAATAGCAAAAACTTTATACAACACAGGCAAAATCACATAAATGACAAACTTCACAAAGGGTTGACTCCCATATGAGTCCAACTAATTAAACTCGTAGTATACAATACACCCGTAGTATATAGAATCGATTCAAAAAATGATCTAAAAAAACAGCATTATGCAGTATAACACCAAGATTGAAAATATATCAAATTATCAAGATAACAAAAATTAAAAGAGCAAAAATATACCATGGAGGTGGCAACGGAGGATCCATAGATCAAGCAGGTAGTGCGAAACCACGACTTCGAAGAAATAAGAGCAAAAAGATTGATAATTGACAATGGCCAAAGAACAAGAACTTCCATCCAAATTAGACCCACAAAGAAATGTGGCTTCTCAGCCACCAAATAATCACCATACACACTGCTATACCATGAATTTAGATCTACCAAAACATTAGGATAATATTCTTTTGGTAAACAATTTTGGGCATCAAACAATGGGATAACAACTGACATTAAAAGGAAGAACAGTAATAAAATTGCATCAATGAGTTTGATAACACAGCCCATTTTTCTGGGATTTGAAATTGAATTTCTGAAATGGGAATTGTGGGTGTTTTTGAGAGTGATGTGATTGTGAAAATGTGTTGTGGGTATTTATAGAAAATTGACTTAAATTGTTTAGATCTAAGAGGAACATGGTGGTTGCAATTGTTTATGTTTTTGAGGGTTTTTTTTTGTTGAGAATTCAATATTGAAAATTTGAAAGTGGTTTAGAATGTTGGGTTCATGTTGTTTGAAGTTCCAAGTTTGTGTTAGTGCTTGTAACGTGGAGAAAATTATGCAAGATTTATGACCAAGAGGGTGTGTAAGAAATAGGTCAAATTCTTAATTGATACGGCTATCAATTTCGATTGGATATTATTTTCATCAAGATGATTGTGAAATAAATACAATCCAAAATAGGTATGACAAAATTTTCAACTTATATTGTTATTGAGTTAGAGTATGCATATACCCATCCATCCTCCATCTTTAAAAGTCTAACCTATGACACTGTGTAATAATATGATATACGCAATCAGAGTAACAAATAGCAAATGGTAAAATTATTTCAAAAAAAAAAATAGAAAACGGTAAAATAGGGTCAAGCCCCGATTACGCAATTTTGAGTAACAAAAAAGGACAATAATGTAAATATATACAACTTTTTTTTTTTTAATTATTACTTCGTATTTTACAAGCTAACTTTGCATTTGACACCATAAGCAATTTTTACTATTCCATCTTCTTCCTGAACATACAATTTCCACCATTTCACCCATTTTTTTAAAAATTTCACCCACCACCATTTCTACTATTCTTGACAGCTTTCATCTCCACCCACCACCATTCAAACGAAAACCCTATAGACAAAATGAGAAATAAAGGGCATAATCAACCCCATAGGGTAGGGGTGTTATATTCCTCCATTGAAACAACCCTTCAGCTTCTGAAATCTCCATATAAACGAAATCGTGAACAGTCGAAGCGAATTCTAGTACCATTACGGGTCGTGGTGGTCCACAACACCACGCTGAGTTTAACAACTAGAATCTTCTCGCTGATTCCACCGACTCGAACCTTCTCCAAACGCGCCTCGCTGAAGTCCGTTGTCGACAACTCCAACCTCAACGTTTCTCCGATGGCGATTAGTGCTGTTGCAAGAGCTGCTGTTCATTTTCGTTAACGTTATTTAGCACTAGTTAACCATCTTCAATCCATCTTCATGGTAAATTACAATCAGGTCCTCAATAAAAGTCTGTGAAATGACTAAAGTACCCGTGGCACCTGGTTTTTAATGGACAAAAATTAGTGTATAAAAGGTTCCACTTAAGTGTCTGATAAGACTTATAATTAAAAACTTAGAGTCGCCACCTTATTTTTATCCGAATAAGGACGGATTTAAAAACAGTCAATTTTAAGAAATAAATCTTAAAAAACAAATCAACTGCTAACTCCATAAAATGAAATAAGGCACAGGGTTTGGGGTTTAGGTTAAGAGAATCGAACGTCTGGAACTCGTCTTCCCTTCCGTTCTAAGGAACGGGCTCTTACTATTGTGTTGTTAAAAATCAAGTTTTAAGACCTGTAAACCACATAAAATAAAAAATAAAAAATTAGTATAAGGTAGGTTTGAGCACCAAAGTTGCACTACGTACCGATCATAGTGAGATTTTGAATTCACTCACGGATCAAAAGCTTCGTAGTTTGGACATATGCCATGTTTTAAATAACTGATTCCATTGGGTTTTTAATTTGGGTAGTTGACATAAACGTCATTTTTGTAAGTGGGATTTTAGTGATCTTTGACGGATTCACTCATAAAAGTAAAATGAACCACCTTAGTTGAGGAAAGTCACCCCGATTAGTAATTACCAAAAATGTCTTTTGAATAAGACAATTCAACAAATGCGTCCCAATTGACGACTTTTTAGTGGGTCAAGGTATTTTTTTTTGGAGTGAAACTGTAAGGGTTCACTATATAATCTCACTTTGGGTTTAAAATCACTCAAGGGTAATTTTTGTAAGGTTTTAAGGGTTATGTGTTTAGGCTCAATGGAATTGGCCAAGTAAAACACGACACCTGTCAAGGCTTTACTTCCAAATAAAAGGGAACAATAAACTATTTAATCATATCCGATTGTCAATTAATCCATCGGATAATTATGATGGGATTAGTGCTGTCAAATTTCAAACCAAAACCGTTTAACTGCCCGAAACCGACCGACCCAAATGAGAACCGAACCGATTAAAAATCGATTTTTTTGAAACCGAAAACTGACTTGAACCGTATTTTAGTAAACCCGAAACCGAATCGACCCGAATAATGTTAAACCGTATAAGAACCGAACCCGTTAACAAACCGAATCGAATATAAACCGAACTGAAAGAAAATCGAACCGAAAAAGAACCGAACCGTATCTAACCCAAAACCATTTAAACTGGCAAAAAAACCGCTTACACCGAACCGTTAGCAAACTGCTACCCGTTTGCACCGAACCATTTAAAAACCGAACTGATTGTAAACCGAACTGGTTATAAACCAAACCGTTTATGAACCAAACCGCTTCTAAATCGAACCGTTTACAAACTTTTTTATATAATTAAATGGATTTTTTTTTACGGGGATATAATTAAATGGATTAAATATTAGAAATCTTAGAATATTTTTTTTAAAATAGCAAGGAAAATCATTCATTAAGGTCTTAAGGATAATCAGTGTTCACAAACAAGAGCAAAACAAGCAGGCTCAGGCCCTGCCTCAAACTATTAGCAACACTACTGCCTCTAGTCATGTATACATTTGAAGTGATGAAACCAAATGAACAAAAAGCTTGTAATATTAGGTACCAAGGCTTGGCTAAAGACGTAATAAATAAAATTAATTCACAAAGACTATTAAGCATATGATTACATTGATTCTGTGAGTAATAATGAAATAAAGATGGGAGTGTGCTAGTGACATGAATATAATATTAGGCTATGTTTTAATTCAGATTCAACTATAATTTAGTAAACTTGAAATGGAACCGATATGAATAACGTTAAACTGGTTAAACAATCGAAGAACCGAACCAGTTATAAAATGAACCGAAAAAGAACCGAACCAGTTAAAAACTGAACCGAAAAAGAACCGAACCAGCTATAAACTGAACCGAAAAAGAACTGAACTGTTTCTAACCCGAAACCGTTTCCAACCCGAAACTGTTTGAACCGGGATAAAAACCGTTTACATCGCACCGTTAACAAACCGCAACCCGTCCGCACCGAACCGTTTACTACCCGGACTGTTTACAACCCGAACCGAATTAAAACCGCTTAAGAATAAACCGAAACCGAATCGAACCGATAATATTTAAACCGAACCAAAACCGACCCGTGAGACAATTAAACCGATTCCAAACCGACCCGATTAAATATCAAACCGATTTCAAACCGAACCGAAACCGAACTGTCAAACCGTTTTGACAGTGCTAGATGGGATATAAGTTTATTTTTGTGGAGATGGATAATTGTTACAACCTTATACAACTAAATAATTAATCTTAACCTCATGTTTTGAGGCCATAACCTTATATTAACTATCATTAATTATTAGAAATAAACAAGCAAGGTTATGTTTCATCCTTGTGTCACAAAAGGGTTTGAAATAAAAAGGTTCACGAAATTATAAAAGAAAGTAATGTTTGTTAAAACTTTATTTCATTAAAATGAAATAAAAAGATTCTTAAAATAACACTTAGAATTAAGCCTGGTTAAAACTCTTATTTCTAAAGTCATTTTTAAGATAAGATTAAAGACATTTTAATTAAAACTCCATAAGTTAAGAAGTATATATATAATATAGTGTAACATAAGTTTCATACCACCATTAATACAATTTTTAAAAAAGCAATTAAGAGAAAAACGTGCATATTTCATCTATTTGATAGCTTGAACTAAAATTTTCATTAAAAATCATAGAAAAATAGAAAAACTTATTGTGAGATATGGTTGGAAAGCTCTTGAAAAGTTCTAGCACTTGAGCTAAAGAAATGGAACGGATTTTGGTCGTAAGGGTTGTTTCACAGGCCATCTTTGGGTCGTGGTAAGTAATTCTTTACTCTTGAACAACCTTTGCTTAAACTCTTAATTCCTTGGATCTTTAAGCTCACTTTAAGAAATAAATCATTCCTTAAAATATATATTAGGCAGTCACATGAATGTATTAACCTTTCATATTTAAAATGCATTATAAAGAGATGCAATGCAAAATGCAATTAACCCCCCTCTTTGTAACCTATCACCTCACCAATAGGCTTGGCTTTCTAATATGGAGTAATGAAAGATTTAGGGCTAATTTAGCACCTAATATCGTCATTACCCCTATTGGTAACATCACATGAAAACAAACACATTAGTTAGCATAATAATAATAATTAAGGAAATTAAGAAAGGAATAAAGATAATACCTCGAACTAGATGTAGCAATTTTTTGGATAACCCTTATTACTTATCAAGGATGAAAAGATGATCACTCCTTAATTAAAGTGCAATAAAAGAGACTAAGTGATTTTTTGGAGTTTTGAGATATTAAAGGAAATTAATGCAAAAATAGAGTTAAAGAACTTTTTTTTATTTTTTATTTTTGATTAGAGGAAATAAACATGAAAAATAAAGCTAAATCTTGAGAAACAAACCCTTTTTTTTGTTTTTAATATAGACTAGAAATACTTAAGCAATTAAACTATTATTTTTTTTAACAAGGATAATAAAGAAAAATAATGCTTGAACTTGAAATATTTTTGTGTTTTTTATAGGAATTAAAGATGATAACAATACTTAAATAAAAATAACAATATCAACTTAATTATAAGATGCTTTTAATAAGCTAATAATTTAGGAATAAAGCTAAATTAGAGAGATTTTAGCTAAAGCAAAGATTAGAGGAGAAAATTTCTTTAGAGAGAATTTTAGAGAGAGAATTTGTAGGAATTTTTTGGTGTTTTAAAACTTGAGAATTAGGGGGGTATTTATAGAAAAATAAAGGGTTAATTTGTAAATAAAAAAAAGTAAATAAATTAAAATTCAAGGATTATTTTGGTAGATATCAAGATTTTGGTAATAATGAGAATCTTGATATTAAACTCTTTCGTTTTATATGTAACAAACTTACTTAATCTGTTTTGCAACACTTAAACTGATAAAAATAAAGAAAACTGTAATAAAATCAACTCTAATATTCAAATAAAAAGGTTCTAAAATTCCATGGTAAAAAATATAAAATATATGACCAAGTCATGTCACAATTCAAAAAAAAAATAATAATAATAATACTCACAAGGTATATAATAGCAGAGTGCCTAAATTTATTTATTGACTATTATACTCACCAAGGTACTAAAACAACACTTATAAAATAAATATCAGCTCTGAGATGCCAGCTCTGAAAATTACACAAAGACATTAAATTACAATACTAATAGAGTTGGACAAAATATTTTAGAGTAAGTAAAAAAAAGTAAAAAGAAAAATAACCTCTGCCCTTATTAGATAGTAAATATAAATTTACGCAAGAACATCTAAACATACGACAAAACCTTATAAATACAAGCATTTTAAATAATAACCCTTATTAAAAATATAAAGTAAAGTAAATCATATAAAATCATAAGATTGACATGGTCAACGTGAAAATATATCATACAGTATTAAGTCATACGACATAAATTTAAGGTGGTCAAGAGTAAAAAAATATTCCCTTAACCGAATGACCTTAAAAAAAAAAGGTGAACTCTTACCTTGCCTTACTCTACTAAAACACAAATTTATACTTA